ACCTTGTTTTGATTTTATCCTGAGAATTTGATCTCCAGCGATCTTTAATAAGGTCTCAGCCGAGTGCAACCTGTCCCGTTACGTGTGAAAGTGTCTAAAACGAAATACTGGTGCTTTTTCAGATAAAAAACATAGAATTGGATCAGGTAGGTAAGGTCAGTTGTGTCCGATTCGTATTGTCTGATAATGAAAAGTGGTACGAAGTCAAAAGTCTGTGCTCTCTGTCTTAAAGTCGAATTTCATCCCCATGCTCACCTGCGGTCATGAGTCCGTGACAGAAATTTCCATCCCGGGCACAAGCGGCTGAAATGAGCTTTTTGAGGCGAATCGCAGGCCTCTCACGTCTCGGCATTATCCTAAGTATGGAGATCTAAAAGAGCTTTGGTGTAAAACCGGTTTTTCTCCAGGCTAAAAAGTTATATCTGCAACGGCTTGGGCCAGTTTTATATCCCTGATGTTGACCCTTCCTGGATTATCATGACGTAGGTATTGAGGCTCGACCTCAATATCAACCTTCTGCGAAGATTTTATGAATGATGAAGGATAGATCAACAACAGAGTCTGGCAACTCAGATTGGAGGCAGCTTTGTTTGTTGACGGGCACACGCTAGGAAAAACAGAGTGTGAAGTCAGGTACCACAATTAAATATAATGGGATTGTATTCATAATGAGTTAAATTATGAACAGCATTACTTAGATATCAAAATAATTAAAAAATACATCAGCACGGAGTAAATCTTTGAAGCTCTTATGGCTTCATTTAGTTTCCTCAAGATCAGATGTCTGATGTTGGAGAAGTCATACGCTATTTGACACTCTCCGGCGTATGGATATGTCGCGTTTATGCGGTCAACATAAATGATCTCCAACTGATTTCCAATCTAATCAACTGAGTAAACTTCTCACTACTAGAGTTTCACAGTGCACTGAATTGCCTCGCTGTTCCCAGTGTTATAGAGGGAGGTTAAAGCAGGCAGCTGCTGAAAGGAATTTGAATATTCGCAGTGTCAGACGCATCCGTCTCATTTTAGCATTGAGAGGAACACATATTCATTATCAACGGCATTTCAAGAGACTCCTGCTATACTCCAACTGTGCTTTCGAAAAACAGCTAAAGCATAATTCGTACTCTGAAGTAGGTTAGTAAAGGCTTAACTCCATGAATCACAGAATGCGAAAGTTTTTCAGAAGTTAAGCTAACTTTCAGTAACTTTCTGTTATCCCGTAATCACCTGTTTAAATTGGAGAGACGATCCTCTCAAATACCATAGCAGAAGCATTTGACGTAACCAAGACAGGCAGCAGTTATTAAGTTCATTTAATATCACCTCCTTTTATTGAAGATCACTTGGTGAAGCCTAAGGTATAAATAGAGATATTTATTTGTGCCTCTGCAGTCCTAAGGCAGTCGATATTCGTCTCAAGCGCCATCCATCAAAATATGATAACTTTGTATGCCGATTACCGATATCGCCTAATTGGGTGGCTCTTAATCGCAATAACGACTGGACTGTCGATGGATGCATCGTCTCGTTTATGGTATGCAGTGAAGGAACAAAGTGTGACGCTTCATGCAGGCGAAGTAGGACAAGATATTTTCGCTTTAAGAGCCATTGTGAAGATCACGGTGGCTTACCATTAGAGAAGAAGTGGCCAAATAACGAGGCAATGATGAGTCGCAAATAGATCTTTTTTAAGAAAAATTTTGATGAAGGAAGAATAGCCTGACCATCAACCGACAAAATGAATGGCATCAGACGAAAGACCTGTTGCAAACGGTTCATAGAGCATTCTTAAACTTTGATCCCCCTCATTTTGTTGAAGAAGACCCATAAGATACGGGCAGAAAGGTTAGCACTGACTAGTCACGCCTTAGATCCGCACATAACAAAACCGTTTGATTTGCGCCAATTTTTTAATTAAC